TTGATTACGTTTTTTTACTTTTACATGTCTGACGATAAGCGTAAAGGATTTTTTAAGTAGGTAATTAATTACATCAGAAAATACTCCTATAAACATGAAATAAATCAATTTATTAGTCACAATATCTCAATGAAATCCTCTTCTACAAATCTTTGACACATTTGATTTTTTCTTTATCTTCCTTTGAAGTCTGTACGATTTATATCTTAAACGTAACATGATTTACAAAAATACCCTGAATTAAACAACCCTAAATGTAGATTCTATTCATGTTCGAATGTTAAACGCTTCGTGCTATTAAATGAAGCAATGAAATTATATCGAGTTTACGGTAAAAATAAGGTCGTAAAAAGTGATAAGGTTTTAAAGCCGTCGTACTATACATAACTTTGTGTTCCTAGTTGGAAAAAATATAACAACAAATAAATCCTACTGAAAATTCTATCAGAATATATAACTCTATACTCATATTATAATGAGGAATTGCTTGTATTTTTGTATGTATTTAAGCAACTCAAAAACAGCTGAACCAATTTCAATTTATTATTTATTTATTTATAAGGTATACAAATTGCATGTTCAAAATTACCAACCAAATTAAGTATATTATAGACAAAAAAAAAACAAAAAATTCTCTTACCAGTAAGAAGCGACGTTATCAGTAACATGAGGCTATATTTTTTATTATTTTTTAATTTCACGACGAAGTCACGAGTAACTAGAATAAATTAATTCAACCATGTTATACAAAAAGCTATAAATTTTCCCGTGCATTAAGCCACTCCCAACATTTCAATCAGAATCTCTCCCATAAATTTTAAGGATTGACAACTTGAGTGATGGGTATGAGTTCACGCCTGTCGTCTTTGCTGGCAAACTGCCAACCGATGTGAAAATCAAGATAATCAGGAAGCAGAAAATGTATAAAATTATTTTATATAGTAGCTTTTGCTCGCGATTTCGTCCGCGTGGAATTAAAAAAATAAAGCTCAGCTCAACGATAACGTAGCGTTTTAATGGTGAAAGAATTTTTGAAAATGACCCAGTAGCTTTTGCGTTTTGTCAATACATAAAAAGATACAAATCTTTCCTCTTTATAATATTAGTACAGATTATTGAAGAAATAAAGAAAATTCGATTCTTTAAATGGGTAACATAGAGAAAAAATAAACAGAAATTAATCAATATAATAATCGTTTACTCAAAAAGTTAAATACAGCTTTTTTAAGAAAAACATTTTTTTTTAAATTGCACTCTTTTATTAAGGCAAAATACCTAACACCTCTGGAACTAGGTAATTTTAAAAATAAAAACCTCTACAATTTGATATTATATTCTGTTACAAATACCAATAGTGTTAGGCTAGCAAAATTCGTGCGAAGTACGCACATTATCATAAAGTGAGCGTTCATGCAAATATTGAGTCGCTCTCAACCAGACATCCATTAGCATAAGACGAAAGGGGACGCGTATCTAGAATATTCCAATTGAATGTCTATGAATCTTAATCTATAGCATCTGGTATATTTGGAACAAATATAATTCCAGTAAGAGCGCACACCTGTAACTAAACTATCGCACACATGTCGATTGTCGATTGTTTCGAAGCCCATTCAACTGTTTAGTTGAACAACTAAAAATCGAGTGTGTATCTCCATATAAGCTCATAGGAATCAAAGCGCGACTAAACAGTTGTTTAGTAAAAGGTGTGCGCGCGCTCTAACTAGGAGATCAGATCTAACAAGGACATCTTACCCATTGAGAGAACAGTTAAATCTATTATTGAGCGCGGTTCACACTTGGTGAGTACTGTACAGTCGCGCAGATAAGGCTTGGATTGTATGAACTATCTAGCGCTTATTAGTGGTCACACTGTCCAGTTGCAGTTATTGATAGTGACCAACTGTATTGGCCAAGTGTGAACCGCGCATAACTCCTAACCTGACCGTTACTACCGCTAATCAGAGTCAAAATGGCGGAAACTACATATGCACGACCATGTTTCATAGCCTGTCCATTAAAGAGGTTATTAATTATAATAATGATTATGAATGAATTGATGAATGTTTGTAAAAATTTGTATCCTAAACTTCTGAACGAATCACAATGAAAGGCGTAGATGTAGATGATAGTCTGGAAGAACACATAGGCTACTAGCTTTTGTTTTTTTACACTATGGAAGCGTATGCTACAATTATAAGTTGACCGTTTGAACATTAAAAGCCATTTATATGCTGTATGCTGCAGATATGCTAACTGCCCCTAGTGTTAATGATCGAGCACAATTAGCCGTCAGATTTACGCTAATGATATCTTTCCGACTAATTACCAATATCTTGGCGCTCATGATAACGACGTTCAATATTAACGTGTCTGCATTACTTTGGTATCTTGCAATAAGTTTTTATTACCCATTGTTAAACTGTCTTCATTACTTTGATTTACATTTTTACTTATAATTGTTTGTTAGTTTTATAATATTTATTGTTATATACAGATTTTATTGTATACCTTAAATGGTAAACGACAAAGCGAACATTATGAAGGAACCGCGAACGAACTCCGTTCGCGCTTCGGCGGGATATAGCCTATGTGTTCTTCCAGACTATGCTCTAAACCTGTGCCAAATTACATGGAGATCCGTTCAGCCGTTTAGGCTACAAACGCTAACATCCATCCATCCATCCATCCAACTAAACTTTCGAATTTATAATATTAATAAGATTTAATAATAAAATACATCATGTTGGTGATGTGGGGCTAGCGGGGCTATGGCCTAGTTGCCGTTAACTTGGTTAGGTTCAGAGCCCTAAGGTGGGGAAATAAATGACTGAGACAGCCTAGAGCTGTAGATAATCTTTAGATGATAGAAATGGAAATAGTAAATGAATAAATAAATAACTTATCTTATAATGAGATCAAGAATAAAATTGTAAGCTCTGGCAAGGATCAAGCTTGAAATTCGTAATTAAATGTTATATTTTACGTGGTAGAATATTAAGTGCTTTGTTATTGGTATGTTTGTCCGCTGTCACATAAAAAAAATCACAGTTTACGCGCAGTCATCATAAAGTTATAACGAGCCTTTTATCGCGGCGATGAAATGTAAAATACTTTGTTACATTTCATTTAATTTGATTTATGTCGGTTATGATAAGGTTTCGTGAAAAATTCATTGCTGAATTGTATTTTTAAAGCACACGCACTTTTTACTAAAGTATCGCACAATTGTTGAGTCGCACTTTGATTCCTACGAGCTTATTTGTAGGTGCACACTAATCGATTTTTAGTTGTGCAGCTACTCAGTTAAATGGGCCGCGAAACAATTGACAATCGAAAATCACACAATAGTTATGTGATAGTTTAGTCCAAGATATGCGGTCGGAGTTATATAGTTATACAATACGAGCTGTTGCCCGCAACTTCATCCGCGTGGTATTAGAAAACATAAGAAATATATAAATTACAAAAAGCTACGTATCCCTCGGGAACCGGACATTTCTCTGGGATGAAGCTTATCTCATGTGTACTCCAGACTTTGTTTTATATCTGTGCCAAATTTCAATAAGACATGTTAAACCGTTGCAGAATGATCGAGTGAACATTAAAAACTAAATTAATGAATCCCACGGGAACCGTAACTATTCCCGGGATAAAAAGTAGCCTATGTGTTCTTCCAGACTATGCTCTAAACCTGTGCCAAATTTCATGGAGATCCGTTCAGCCGTTTTGGCTACAAACGCTAACATCCATCCATCTATCCATCCATCCATCCATCTAAACTTTCGCATATAAAATGTAATTTTATTGTGTTTCAGTAACTCTGTATGTAGCTCGCACGTGTTAAAAAGTTAAGACAAACAAAATGATTGTACAAACATTTGTTTTAATATAATTTCGTAAAATTTTGTTTTGATACGAAATTACGGCCATTATAAAACACCAAAAACTTCTGAGGACTTTCGTTTTGTTTCAAACGAGGGTTTGGTTTATTCTTGTTTTAAATTGTTTATTGGGTAATTAATTAATTTTATTGATCTAATTACTGTCAAGAGATGCTTTAAATAGAATAGTAACAGCGCTATAATTTTATGTTTAGTCTTTTAATTTTTCTTTGATGCCTTATTTAGCCCTTGAATCAACCCTTAACTTTACTTCGTACTAGTGTTATAAATGAGATGGTTTAGATGGATGAATGTTTGTTAGAGTTTGTTGCCTAAACGGATTTCGATTAAATTTGGCATAGACGTAGAGGATAATCTAAAAGAACACATCGGCAACTTACTTCTGTTTTTTTTTCCAACGCTTACAGAGTCGCGTCCGAACATAGAATAATTAATAAGCAGTAACTTCTACGTTATATTACACGAAAAAGCAATTTTCAATAAACAATATGAAGTATAAAATTACATTAGATATATCAGTGTGAAAATAAATGTTTTTGTAGTTTACACAAATAGGACGCGCATTTTCAGTATGGTAATGCCTACTTTATTATGCATGGGCCGAGCTTCTGGTGATTCTGATACGACAAACAAAGTATTCTTAAGATAGATAAAACATAAATTACCATTTTGTTTCCAAAATATGGTAGTGTTAGATATTTCGATGCAAATGACTTTTTGAAAAAACAATAGACGAACGGTCATATGAGCAATGCTTAATTACATTAAAACAAACACTAAGGCATCTACATAAAAATATCGAACATTCCGTGGTGACGACTAAAAATTTACTGAGCTACTGAGCTCCTTAACGACTGAAGGACTGAAGAACTGAGGACCAGAGCTACGTGACTCTTTGCAAAGTCTTTTATGAAACTATCCTCACTGTTACCTACGTTTCCTAATATTTTCTAACAGTAGCTTAGATAGTAATCAGCATAATATTCCGGTTTAATTCGTAAAAACATATATTTAATTATCCTTCGTATGAACTGGTATGGGAATGTAAAAAAAAGCCATCGTTTCTTATCATAATTATTTATTTTAACAATTAATTTATTTGTCACCCGCTCCGTTGTTTTCTTTGTTTGGATTCGGTAGAAAGTATACTAACCCAGCGACACCTGTGATAAAATAAAAATCTTAAACCATTACAATTTGACCTCAAATAAACCCTCTACTGTTAAGTTATTAAAACTTTCGTGAGACATTACGATATTAATTATAAAACACGGCTTAACCCACGAGAACAATGTTCATATTTAACTTCCTACTATTTAAAAAAAAACTAGATTTCAACCGCGACTCCGAACGCGTGGAATTAATAAAGTAAGTGACCTGTGTGTTCTTCCAGACTATGCTCCACATCTATGTCAAATTTCATCAAGATCCGTTCAGTGGATTCAGCGGAAAACTCAAACAAACATCCATACATCTAAACATTCGCAAATATGTTAGTAAGATAGATATAATTGCATACTTACCAAGTGTAATCACAGATAATGCTAAGAAAGGCCCCATACATCCCAATTCCAGCATGATTGGGAACAAAATATTCCCAAGTAACGAACCGATTCTACCGATCATTACTATCGCTGAAAGAGCTAATGTCCTGAAACATTAGTATTATTTGTTATCTCTGTTTGTCTAATAGAGAGTGAGAGAGATGGTCTTTATGTTTTTGTTCCGATGTTCAGTCTAACATCACATTATTATTGAGATTTACAATATTCGGTACTTTTAAAATATGCTTTAAGAAATAACATTTAAAAATCATTATTACTAGTATTTTTTAATAACGTTGCCTTTAAAAGGAAGCTTTAATAAGGCTGATTAAAGTAACTTACCTTACAGTAGTTGGGAATACTCTTATTAAAATATTCTGCTGTAGACTCAAAGCGGATTGCATTAAACCGCAAGTCGCAGAGATTAGCAAAGCTGCTTGTATTGAAGAATAAGTCCAGTACAACGATCCTGAACAGATCGCGCATAGAATCAATAATATAAACATCAATATTTTCTGCCCAACAAAGTCAACTAGATAACCGCTAGCGCCAACGAAGAACATTGAAAATAAACCGAGAATTATTCCATTTGTGTACGTCTCTGATCCACTCACTTGCTGTAAAGAATAACGTTTGTTTTTAAAACCTTTTAAAAACATATTCCTTTGATGTATGGCCAAAATCAAGGAAGTAAGATTGCCATGGTTTGTCATCATGTAATGTCATTTTGACAGTTGCAATTAATAATATCATAAATGTGCCCGCTTTAACATCCTAGCACGAATGGGCCGGCACGCCCGGTGTTATACCACGACCACACAGAAGACAGGCTTGAAATGGAAGCAATTACGTGTTTCGTCTGATGAGTGTGGTGCCGGAGGCCTAATTTAAGTCCCTTTCTCTTTACCACACTTTTCTTATAAGGAGAGGTTGGGAAGGGGAAGTGGATTTGACGGTGGAGGAGATGCATAGAAAGGGGAAATATGCTCTTTATGTGCGTCTCCTCTTCCGTCGTATAAGGGTAGGCAACGCATCTGTAATTGCGGATGTCTATGGGCAGCGGTCGCTTCGCCATTTTGGCGGCGCGCCGCTTGCTCGTTTGCCACCTTATGCTATAAAAAAAATGTAAACAATAAAAAAAATCACATTTTCATGCGGATGAAGCCGCACGGGAACAGCTTGTATCTATATAAAATTGTATGAAAATACTTACAGGTATACAAATCTCAGTATCTGTAATATTAGATGAAACGTTTATAATTTTATCGTTTAATTTATATCTGTAGTCGTTCATCATAACACAAAATCTGTCAGTCTTTCCGTAATCTTTCTGATAGTTTTCAATAATCGTCGACAACTGCGGATACCATAATCTCAATGCACTGTACCTGTAAGAAATAAAAGAAGATAGTAACAATCGTACTATACTCAGAATCATTAAGACACTAAGGACAGCCTTAAAGTAAGTGAGAGTTAACCCTACAAGGCTCATTTTTTTTTAAGGGTGAAAAAAATATATGTGATAAAGTTAGTGATTAGTAGTTAGGGAAAAATAATAAAAAAAATAAAAATCCAATAATTTACAAGTAAATCAAGTTTTCATTTCCGTTCCATATATGGTACACTGAGCCTTAACTAAACTTTTTGGTAATAAACTAGACCAATCGTTAGGAAATATTTCCTCTTTGAATAATTCGAATTCGAATTATTATTTTAAACAAAATAAAAAACATGATTATTTAAATCTTGGTACGATGTGGCGGTTTCCGAGCTACTTTTAACTATGCGAATGCTTATGGTTCGATAGATTCATAAAATGAGGTTCCGACGTAACTTAAATAGAAACTTCAGAAACCCAGCATTAAGCGATTTTTTCTTCTGCGTGAGCCAGTTAAATTACCTGTTTGTTTGTCAACTATGAATTATATGAATTATTTTTTAAATTATACTAATATTATAAATACAAAAGTTTAGATGGATGGATGGATGTTTGTTAGAGTTTGTAGCCTAAACGGCTGAACGGATCTCGATGAAATTTGGCATAGTTAGATGCAGAATAGTAAAGTATAGTGTGAAAGAACACATAAGCTAATCACTTTTGTTTTTTAATTTTGTTAACTTACGCTAATAAACACACGAATGTGAGACTAGAAAATAATATAAGTCGACAAAACAAAGGCGCGCGGAATAATTCTTTGACATCTATCATAGCGTGAGTCATTTGTTTTTTAATGCTCATCTCTTTGGTTGATTTGAAGGAACTGGATGCACCAAGGGATGTTATCTGTAATACAAAGAAAAATCATTGTCAGTGTATCTTAACCCTTAATTCAATAGTGTCCAGTCCAAAAATCTACTGAACTTACTTATGTGATGTTTTGTTTTTAGTATGTTGGTAACGTGTAGTATTTTTTTGCTATAAAAACTGCTTCGAATTAAGAGTTAAAACTGATGAAGATGTTGAGAAATTTGAACTTTGTTCGCTCTGTAAAAATTTGATTGTTTTGAAAAATTTATCGGTGTTTTGTTAGGCAAAATACATTCAAACTTGTAGAGAATACATTCGTTATTATGAAAGTCTTATGCATTTCTTAACTTTAAATAAAATAAAAGTACTCACGGGATATTCCGTTTTTGGTTTCCCAGTATTTTCACTGTACACTTTTCTCAACACTTCCAATGCTTCTCTTTCTTGTCCATGAGATAAAAGATATTTAGGACTTTCTGGTATAGTACAGTAAAGTACTGCAGCTAACAAACTCCAAATCGAACAAATGTACAAGTAAATATTCCAGATTCTTAATTCTGAAAAACAAATCGGTATAAACATTATTTTTTTAATAAATAATCGAATTTCATAAATGCTCTCTTTATAAGTGCAATTTATTAACAATATTCTTCGTAGTTCACCCAAAAAGAAAATAATGCTATAGATAAACTCTTTTACATCTACTTTTATATGATAAGGTAGCAAACAAGCGAGCGGCCACCTGAATTCGCCAAAATAGCAAAGCCAGCGCCGCATACATCCGCATTTGCAGATTCATTGCTTGTCTTAACCGAGACGCATATAAAGAGGATATTTCCCCTTCCTACGCGTCTTCTCCACTGTCAATTCTTATTATCTTCCCCTCATTTCCTTATAAGAAAAAATTTAGGCCTTCGACATATACTCTTCAGTCACGAGGAATTATTTCCATTTCACGTCTGTCTTCTGTGTTGTCAGTACAACGTATACGCATACCAGTACAATACCAGTGGTATTGTACTGGTATTGCGCACTTGAGCTGGTTAATTTTACAAGATGTAAATAGCATTTTATGCCACTGTTAGTTCAATATTAAAAGTCAATTTTGCTTACCAAAGTATCCCTTGATTATGACAACATGCCAAGGTTGTAATAACACACCCCATGATATCAACGCAGCAACGACAAGAGACAGCGACATGAAGGAACAATACAACATCAATATTCTATCACGAATGTTTTTATGTACAAATTCTGACACCATTGATGCGACCGCAGTGAAAGATAAACTTAACCTGAAATAAATATTTTATTAATTCAATAACAAAGGAATGTATAAGATTAACTTTTGCCCGTGATTCCTTCCTCGTGGAATTAAAAAAGAAAGAGCCTATGTGTTCTTCCACACTATTTCCTACATCTATGCCAAATTTAATTCAGATCTTCAGTCGTTTAAACTACAAACTCTAATAAGCACCCATCCATCCTTCAATCTAAAGTTTCGCATTTATAATATTAGTAAGGTTTGAATCGTTTTATTTATAAAAAAAAAACAATAATTTGAATTAATTATAGTTGTAATATTAATAAATATGATTTCCAATAAAAAATAGTGTTTTCTCAAAAAAGTAATGTCACCCATCTACTTCCCTTACTAATATTATAAATGCGAAAGTTTAGATGGATGGATGGATGGATGGATGTTTGTTAGAGTTTGTAGCCTAAACGGCTGAACGCAATTCGATGAAATTTGGTAAAGATGTAGAGGATAGTCTGGAAAAACACATAGGCTTCTCACTTTTGTTTTTCTTAATTCCACGCGGACGGAGTCGCGGGGGAAAGCTAGCTTAAAATACGAGAGAAAATTACATTCAGCATTTTTAGTATGTGTTCAAACAATTAAAATTGTCATCTCCGTTATGAAGCTATAAAACAATTTTAGGTTATAAGTTTCATAGTTGTTATATTTTCTTTTATCTTTACGATTTATTTGGATTACATTGATAAGGTGTTAAAAGTCAACATTTATAGGAAACTACGTAATAAATTTTACACCTCAGTGATTTTCTAAGAACCATAATTTAGAAATAAGCTTGAATTTCCTCATTAATACATCGGTTTGAAAATGAATTCTTTTGGAATATAAGCAAAATTACAATCATTTAAAATACTACATAGTTACTTTTTATCAAAGGATATTTATTAATTACTTACGCAATTCCTTCTAAAAGTTTGAGTACAATTAACATCCAATAGTTCTGACTGGACCCTTCAATTATAGTACATACAAATATAGCTGCGTTGCCTCCAACTAAAAATATTCTCCTACCGAATGCGTCTACTAAGAAACCAGTAAAAAACGTAGCTCCAACTTGGCCTAAAAATTAATAAAACATTAAGTAGACTCAAAGAGAAATACTTATAATGTACCATTTTTTTAGAATTGAAGTCATATAATATTATTTTAAATTTACCTAAATAAACATGTTTTCAGAGAAGACGTCTTTTATATTTAGTCAGGTTAGGTTTTGGTAAACCACATTTATTTACATTTCTAAAATACGCTTCTATCCAATCTAGAGCTTGCTTCTATGTATTAGACAACTTATTTAATTGATACTGTCGCTTTTAACTCAGAGCAATACTTCTCGTCAAGACTCAAGTTACGCGCCAATCTATTCATACTTCTAGTGACATTGACAGCTGTCAGCTAGGGACGTGCCGTTTATGCCGATAATCTAGAGTTGCGCCAATTCTATAGCACGGTACTAATTTTATTCCTAACACTTCCAAGCAGTTTTAAAAGTGTTCTTACTTATTTTAACCACAGATAATACAATACCATATTAGTAATAACAGTTATTAATACAAATAAATAATTCTATTATGTTAAAGAATTGAACTGGCATAAAATAAAATGAGTGGCTTTAAAAAAAAACCAATTATTAAAATCGGTCCACAAGGGGCGAAGTTATGCCGTAACACACAAAAAATAAACAAACATGCAGACGAATTGAGTACCTCTTTTTGGGTAGTCCGTCAAGAAACTAACTTTTGCCTGTGATTTAATTCACACATAAAAAAAACTTGTCACCTAATTAAAATGTATACAAACATTAACAATTATAATTTAAGTAAGAAATAGTTTACTTACCGAAAAACGGCATAGCATTCAGTAATCCTTTATGCATAATACTCATGTTTAAATCACATTCTGCCATTGGTAAAATATACGAAGATGTGGTTGTAACCATTGTGGAGGCAAAAACTGCAGCCATTGATGTGAATAACAATCTTATATGAAAACGTCCAAATTTACAAAGAATTAAACCATCTTCCAATATTGCCATAGGGTCTTTTGTTTGATCTAGAAATAAATTACTGTTATTTAATAAGTCGAAAATTTAAAGAACTAATCTATTAAGATATTGATTTAGTTTAAAGATTTTTTTTATTTCTCATAATCTACTATCTTTCACCCGCGAACCGCGTGGAATAAAATAAAAACAAAAGTAAGTAGTAGTGTTCTTCTAGACTATCCTCTGCATCTATGACAAATTTCATCGAGATCCTTGAAGCGGTTTAGGTTACAATCTCTAGCAAACATCGATCTAAACTTTCGAATTTATAATATTAGTAAGATATAAAATAAACTAATTCTGATTTGAAACATTAGCCCGCGACTTCGTCCACGCAATATCAAGATAAAAAGTTGCACATAATATGCCCGTCTATGTCAGCTACCCTTCACTGACAGTCCAGTCGAAATAAGCCCAACCGTTGCGAACATTACCGGGAACAAACGCGGCTTATGGACTGACAGCAGACAGACATAACTTTTTAAATTCGATTTTCGTTATCAGCAACGAAAATACATCATCTTCCCGAAATCTAGAATTTTTCTTTTGATACAAACAGACACACCAATTGTATTATATAGATTTAATATTACCTTTGGACACGTTTTGATTTTCATCACCCATTTTCACTGCAGAAACCATTTAAAGTCAATACACAAACCACACTCAATTGATTTAAATAAAATAAATTTAATTTTATCATCAAAATTAATGTAATTGAAAACGTGCGTTCTTTTTCGCTCACATGTTATAGTGAATTTCCTAATGAGGCTTCTTTTCTAAACGCTACCGCATCAATATTAGTTTATTCTTAAGTAATATGATAAGGTTTATTATGACATTGTCACTTTTCATAAGATAAGAAGATATGATGATATTATAATTTGTTAATTGTATTATTTCGTTACACAAATGATCTACAAAGACTGTAAAATATTATGCAATGTGTTCAAGTTGTGATAAACATTGATATCATGTTACATTGACTGTAATTTCTGCCTATCCACCGCTGCTATTGGCATGCGGATGATCTCAGGGTTCTCGCGGAAGATCAACTGGGTACCTCATTAAGTAGCACCCATCATTCAAAGCTCAGCGTGGACCCAATCCTGTCAGCATCACAATGCTTATTATAATCATTCTTTTAATTACATTTTTTTTCCTACTTAATTACTACTTCATGGTTGTTTTTCTCTTGTTATTTCTGATAGTGTTGTGTTGTTAAGGACTAAATTTTATTTTGTTTTGTTTTTTATTTTTAATAATATTTGACACAACGGGAATAAGATTACTATTTAGCCTGACGTGCTAACTAAGTCCATTGTAATGTAAAGATTTTATCTTCTAAGATATACGGACGAAAATCGATAGTGAAATACTTGTCTTTTAAATATGTTCTTTAAAATCATTTTTATTTATGTACCCACTTTAATTGAAGTCTCTAAATCAATTTTTTTATCTTCAATGAGCTGGCGCTTGACCACAATTCTATCTGATGTTGAGTATTTATGTGATCATAGAAGGGTACTACTAAATGGTATTTTTAATTCTCTCCTTGTATGATGTTAACTTTCACATAAAGTTTAATGATTTTTTCTTAGGTTTATCTTTGCTATAGACAACATAATACACGAATTAATAGACAGGACAATAGGAACCAAAGTGTAGACTCAAAAATATGCTAGCGGTACAGTTTTGTTTGACACACCGAGACTGTAATTAAAAGATTTACAGGAAAATTCTCGTATTGTCCGCTCTATAACTAGTAATTTATTTGAATCCCTTTGTTCTCTACCGTATTTTTTTTCCACATTCCTATCTATGATACAAGTATGATGGTCGTATAATTAAAATTATCTCTTTCATTATGATGATCAAGGAATATGTTTTATTTGACTTTGTTTACATAATTAACATTGTTTTAGATAAAAATCAGTTTCAATCTCAGTTTGTTCAGCGAAAAAGATTACGCTATCTTAAATAATGACGTAATACGATGACAGTTAACGATGGCAATGAAAAATTACGAAATATTTTATCTTGTAAACAAAATGTAAATAACTGTTGGAAATTTGCGAACAAAGACCTTTAAGAAATATGACTAGACATAGTAAACAATATTTTTTTACCGGTAACTACTTTGAAAGATACTATAGTAAAGTTTAGTACGCTACCTCATGTCCTTGTAGTGACATATTTTAAAACATTTTACAAAATTATGATAAGCTCCATCTTTTGTTATAAAATAAACTAAACTACCTCACAAATAAAATATAAACATTTAAATATAATTTAGTGACACCTTATGCCTTTCAATACAATTAATTATATTGACATATGGTTTTCAGAATGTATCAATAGGTAGCGTTGATGATTATGTGCAAAATGTCTCAAGAGAAATGTCAACTATGCCGCCCCTATTTATTTTTTGAATCTCTTTGGCCTCGAACGAGACTTCCCTAACATTATCGCAAATAAAAAATAAAAATTTGACCAAATATCTATTTTTTTCTGTCAAAATGGACTAAAACAACATATATTAGCCGCGCTGAAGTATGACTACATCTTTTTCGACTTTCCCTGACCATCGCGCCTTTGTCAGCTCAAAACTTCAGTAACGTGTGACGTCATTAGGCTATTGGCAAAGACAGAGGGATTAGGAATTTCCATTAATTCACTGTCACCTTTGAGTCTTCGACTTAATAAAGTTTTGCAGCATTCCTTTATCAATTTAAGCTTTTAATTTTATTCAACATATTTTAGGACCAACATTTTTCAACCAATTGTTTAAACTCGTTTGATCTGTATGGTAGAAATTTAGCAGAAAATTATTATTTTATTAAGCGGATTCAAGGAAAATCTTTTCAAATAGATTTAATGTATACAATGAGTTTTTTCGCATCCTTTTAAAAAGATAATCGGCAATACAAAAGGTGAACGATACCATAAGAATCTTTTGTTGGTTAAAAAAGCGTTCGAAGAAATTTAAGAAAGTGAAAAATAATTCATCTTCTCAAATTTAAGCTTTAACTTAAAACTATGAAATGTAGTTTTTGTACGTAGAAAAAGATGCTGTTTTCATTGTTTTTAAAGACAGTTCAGCTTCAGTTTCTTGTCTATGGCACTCCCTTAGCGGATTGGGCCAGTGTCGAGTGTTTATGGTAAAAAAGACAGACAGAGGTATGAAATCGAAAATTATTTATTTACACAAAACACAATATTACAGTTCACATATAATTTTTAACTTTAAAATTTTATAAGTCTGTATTTTTTTTAATATTATATCCTTAGCTCCTTTACCTGCATTAAACGAGCCAATGGCTTCTCTTACTTCGTTTAATGCACAAAAAAAGTAAATTGACTATTTCGATTGTCGTCTTGTTTTGTTTATAAATTTAAATAAATTGTGTCACCTGTTTTGATTTATCTCATTATTTATTTTTATTTCAAGTTTCAAGTTTTTAACAGTGGTAGAGCCCGCTTTAACATCTCCGCACGAATGAGCCGGCTCGACCGGTGTAATACCACGACCACAGAAAACAGGCATGAAGGTCTAATTTTAGCCCTTTCCCTTTCCACCCTTTTCTTAAGAGAAAAGGATGGTAAAGAAAAGTGGATTTGACGGTAGAGGAGACGCATAAGAAGGGTAAATGTCTTCTTTATGTGCATCTCCTCCGTCAATTAAGGGTAGGCATCTGCAATTGCGGATGTCTATGGACAACGGTCGCTTTCAATTTCAGTGGATGCAGGTAGCCGCTTGCTCGTTTGCCACATTTTATTATAAAAAAAAAGCTTAAACCTCTACAACTATTTGTATATTATCATAAGGTCACGTATTACTTTGTATGAAACTATCAAATGTAATATTCGTGAGAAGAGTTATTCTCGTTGAATATCAATAAACTGAATCATAATTCAATTCCCCGTTGAAGATCGAATGCTTGGGTCTATAGACTTACGCTAGGTAATAGTATAGAGATATAGAGTATAGAGTATATAGTATAGAGTATAGAGTATAGACTATAGACTATAGAGTAATACATTCTCATTGATGTTTCCTTTAGTAGATATCAATACCTTCAAGGTTACCTTAAATTATGCCCTATATTAGTTCTGGTGAATTCTGCAACGATACCAAGGGACGGGTACAGAGGGAACTTTACTTCTACGTAATTTCCTGGAATTCCATTGAATTCTGCCAAGCGTTAATAGTTCTCTATAGTTACTTAGTTATAGTTACTAATATTATAAGGAGGAAATATTTATATTTTAGTATGTATTGAAATATCTGAAAAACTACTAAACCGAATTTAAAATTAAAAACCGACTTTATCGGTGGGTAACAAAGGCTATTTTTATTTCCCGCGGGTCGGGAGTCGGAAGTCGCGAGCAGTTAGTTTTTTTTTTGTTTAATCCAAATAAAATTAAATGTTTTTCGTTTCCACTATTACCTCAAAATTTGCAGATGAACGCTGGCTTAATGAAGCTATTAACATGGATTTATGTTCGCTAAAAGTCACATGCAATAAATTTTCATTTACTACCTTTGTGGAAGCATCATTAAAACTTACACGGTTTTAAAATAAAATTGATTAAAACACGCTTACTCGAATCACGAACTAGCTGTTGCTCGTGACTTCGCCTGTGTGAAATAAAAAATAATAAAACACATATTACTCACTAATAACGTAGCTTAACTAGTGATTTTTGAAATGGGTCCAGTAGTTTTTGAGTTATTTCAATACATACAAAAACACAAATCTTTCCTCTTTATACAATTGGTATAGGTTTGTACTGTCTATACTGGTTTATAAAGACTTTGACAAGAAAATATGTTTAAATGGGGTGCGAAACAATCGACAATCGTGTGCACCCGCTTTTAACGTAAAATATAGGAATGATTATATAATAAACTAGCTGTTGCCCGCGACTTCGTCCGCGTGGTATTAGAAAACTTACGAACTATAAATAACAAAAAGCTACATATCCCTCGGGAACCGGACATTTCTCGGGGATGAACCTTATCCCATGTGTACTACAGACTTTGCTTTATATCTGTGCCAAATTTCAATGAGATATGTTGAACCGTTGTAGAATGATCGGGTAAATATTAAAAAACTAAATTAATGAATCCCACGGGAACCGTAACTATTCCCGGGATAAAAAGTAGCCTATGTGTTCTTCCGGACTATGCTCTAAAGCTGTGCCAAATTTCATGGAGATTCGTTCAGCCGTTTAGGCTACAAACGCTAACATCCATCCATCCATCCATCCATCTAAACTTTCGCATTTATATTATTGGTTTTATTAATTTTATAATATTAGTAAGATAGTAGTTTTATATTCTCAAGTTGAATTTTATTTCTTAAGAAGTTTATTTTAAAACTTCAATACCATCTAAATAAATTTAACCAAACAGATTTATTAAGTCTCGAACTCACGCGGCAGCTTTATTTGACAGCGGTTTCAAAAGGTGTATTCTGAGAGCTTTAGTAATTTTCGTAGCCACATAGTGGAAAGTTTTATTGAAGTTTAAGCTTTTATATCTAAGCGGCCGTCACCTCGAAAATCTTTGTTTACTATATAACTCAAATACATTATTTTTCCAAAATCTGGATTTTTTCTTCTGATATAACAGGCGATCCAACTTTATTATATGTATAGATTATATCACTTCAGGATATCGGTTAATGTATTCACATTTGCTCTTCTACGCTACTCTAGTGTATAGTG